GCCGATGTGACGTAGCCGGCTGAAAGCTATGCCGATCCTGCTCCAGTCGCCATCTTGAATTGTGGAGCAGAATCGGCACAGCTATTCTACTTACTTCAACCGAATCGGTGCTAAACGTCTTAAAACAAGTTATGTATGCGTGTCTTTTACTGAGTGTGTTAATCTGTTTCGACCAATAGTTTCACTGGCGTGCTTGCTTGATCATGGTTACGCGATTGCAATATGCAAATTGACCTTACATCTGATACGATATGTCAACAATGCATTAGACAAACAAAAATGAAACGATCATAGTTAATTCACCTTTCACCTTATTACATTTAATTTAGTTTTCAGTTCTGCGTTGCCAGAAGCGGGAAAACTTTTTGGTTTGTAAATTTATGAGAAAATGTCATCCGTTACAAAAATTTGTCCCCAAAATCTTAAAAATGTTTCTTTTCTCTTAATTTTATCTGAATAATATTAAATTTCAAACTGACCACAAAGTACCAATTTTTTGAAATATCGAAAAGTTACTAAAATATATTGTTAAAAAATCTAATAAGGTTGCAAATGTGAAATTTCAATTGCTTTGTAAAAAAAATAATCAAGTAATTAAGTACTTCATTTTTAAGCCATAAACTAATACTGAATTAAAACCCATTAAATTCAGATTAAGACTTCTGAGGAATATAAAATTTTAGTGCATTTTAAATTTTACTGCATTTTCGTATTCCGTTATTCAATTGTGGATGTATTATGAAATCTTACTTGGTATAAACCAAGGGTAAAACCGCTGATCAAAGAGTGACCGCAAAATACCTGAATTTCGCCCGTTTTTTTCACAATTCGCAGAGAATTTAAAAAAATACATAAAAATATGTTTTTGGTCGCAAATTACTTGTCGTAAAAAACTGAAATGCGCATAGCTTTTAGTATTTTGAAATTTAAAAGATCACCTTAGGGGTTGAAAAAATACCAAAAATGAAGAATTTGAATATTACCAATTGATATAAAAACTATTAGCATGTGAATTATCTTAATATATATTTTTTTGGAATGTTTACAATTATTTCTGATATTCTCTATTTTGGGGATGATTCCACCCCCTGAACACGCTTAAGGGTGGATTTTCTAATTCAATATTCTTATTTCAGTCATGAGAATAAATCTTTCTCTGTATCAAGAATTATTCGAAAGAAAAATTCACATGCTAATAGTTTTCATATTTATTGGTAATATTCAATTTTTCATTTTGGGCGTCTTTTCAACCCCTAAATAGGGTGATTTTTGAAAAATTTCAAAAAACTGGAAGTAATGCTCATCTTAATTTTTTACGACGAGTAATTTGATACCAAAAACATATTATTATCTATTTTCTTTAGTTCTCTGCGAATTGTGAAAAAACGGGCGATTTTTGCGGTCACTCTTTGTACACCAGACATCCCTTTTTCGAAGACATCCCTGGACATACTTGAATTTCCCATCTTCATCACCATCAGTTATGTTTGTTAATAATAGTAAGTACGTCATCCTTGAACACTTAACATAATTATTAATTATACCTACTAAATATAAACTTACCGGGTATTTCACATAAAAGTCCTCAGCTGCGAATTTGTCTCGGCAACGGAAGGACATATTTTGATTTTGAAAAACAGATGATAGAGCTCATCGACGGCTTCGTCAAGAAGTGCAACTTGATTTTTTGCAGAGCAAATTGCAGATGGCGCTGAAGTCGCAAGAAATTTTTCGTTAGCAGCAACTTTGTAACAAAGTTTATCTGATACTTTATTCAATTCTAAACAATTTTTGTCAAATGACTATTTTTCAAAAACTTAATAGTTTCAGAGATATCGGACTCTTCAGCCGGTGAGGTCCAAACTCAAGCGTATTTTAGAGTTTCGAATTTATTATTAGCTTACACAATGGAATAATAATGCTCATGTCATGTGCATGCGTGATATCGACGATCGCAAAATTTTTTGAGGACGTCCTCGGAAATCCTCGGACAAAGTTCTGATCTGAATTAAATGGATTTTTTTTAGTTAATTTTTGATAAGCAGTTTCTGATATAATTACAAGAGTCATATACATAACATTTTTTATTTAGAATTTGAAGATTTGTCAAATTATGTTAATATGGTGTTGCCATTTAAAAAAATATTGTTTTAGTAGCTACTAAACAAATCTGGCAACACCGGTAAGCATTAGTTGTAAATTTTTCTCAGTCAAGTTATTTCCTGCAACTTTGCATTTGGAAGTACTAGTCTATCACTTCAAATACAAAAGTTGGCCTATGTCAGGTTTCAAAAAAATACACTGTATACGAGTATCTCAGGTCAGTGATATGAAAGACGTTAATTGTTTTTAAAATGTTGACGACTAGCAGGAATTTTTATAAAGAATTATATATTCTAATAAATTTTCAAATAAATACTAATATAATTGTGAGAGTCATTGTTTATTTAGAAATGTCATATTTCATTTGGTTTTATCCATCTAACATTAGGTAGTTAATATTGAAGTAATAGTTGAAGTAAAACAATTGAATCGTTTCATACAACGACTGAACTTCTTCACTCAGGAGTCAAACTGGTAATGATTTTAACATTTGACAAAATTTCATTCGTTATAATTCTGTAGAACACCCAGCCTTTTACAAAAAAAAAAGAATAGCCCGATAGTAAAATGACGCAAGGCATTTTTTGAAATGACAGATTTTACATTCTGGGTCCACATACACATCGCTTTCCTCTTTCGTCACTTTATAATATTTACACTGACAAGATATACTGTATATGTGTGTATACAGGGTGTCCCATTCAAGTTTAAAAAAAAACTTGTGCAAGTTCCTCATGGGAAAATAATAGGGATAGTTCATGTAAAGTTTTTTTCTTAGACGCCCTGTTTTTGAGATACAGTGTGTTGAAGTTATTACTTTCCAAATGGTTTTCCTTAATTATCTTTAAATTGGCTAAAGAAAAAAGTGTCAAAGTTCGTACACGAATAAACATCAACTGTGCGTTAAGAATAATGTGCAAACGGTTTCTTTCTGAAGAGCAGTGTCGCCGATACAGGTAACAGGAGGGGTACAATCGAAAAAAAAAATATGTTAAAAGTCAAAATTGATATCATTTCTAAAAAAAAATGGTATACTTGTCGAAATTCGGTAGCACGTACCATTTTCGAGAAAAATGAAGTTGCATAGAAGGAAATGGGGGACAATTTCAGTATCTACTGTAGTATTTCGCGTTTGCACATTTATTTAATTGTGCAGCTGTTTTGTTCTGTATGTCTCCCAGTCTGTTTCCTAATATTTTTCTGTTTTTATCACTTTTTTAAGCATTCATGTCAATCAAAAATTCAGTCCATTCAACAATTGTTTATTTTAGTAATGGTAGTGTAGTAGTTTACAAAATCTAAAATTAGTTAATAATAGATAATTAATTACCATAATCTGTTTATTTTTATTTACTTTTTTAAATGTTAGTTTACAACAAACTGACACTTGAAAAAATAAATTTATTTTTTTAGTTAATAAAATGTTTTACAATTTAACTGTTTCATGTGATACGTAAGAAATTAAAATTATAGTCTTAAAAGCAAATACTGTTGGTAGCTAAATGTCTTCAGCTCATTCAATGGTAAGGTCCTCTTTCAATGTAATATTTTGTTAACGTACTTGTGCCGCTTTATGTGAGCATGCAACTTCATTTTTCTCAAAAATGGTACATGCTACCGAATTTCGCCAATTATACCTTTTTTTGTAGTATGCTTTAGTGTGTACAGAACCGTTGACTTTTACATATTTTTTCTTCAATTGTACCCCTTTATTTACTTGTATCGACGACACTGCTTTTCAGAAAGAAACCGTTTGCACATTATTTTTAACGAACAGTTGATGTTTACTCAGTACAAATTTTGACATTTTTATCTTTAGCCGATTTAAAAATAATTAAGGAAAACCATTTGGAAAGTGACAACTTCAACACACTGTATATCGAAAACAGGGCATCTAAGAAAAAAATATTACATGAACTACCCCCATTATTTTCCTATGAGGAAATTGCACGCAAGTTTTTTTGAAACATGAACGGGACATCCTGCATATATTATATATAAAATATATTTCATTTGTTCTTTTCGAAAAAAAAACGCTTTACTATAAAAAATAAATAAGTATATATTCTCGTTATTCTACCAAAAGTCTATAGTATTTTGGTAATATAGATATCTAAACTCATATTTGTTCATTACAGATCGCAACTTACCAATGGTTCCTTGTACATAAATAGCGTCATCGAAGAACAAAGACTAACAGGAACATATCAATGTATGGCATCGCTACCAAATGTTGGATCTATCGTAAGCAGGACTGCCAGACTTAGTGTAGCTAGTAAGTAAATTAATTAATCACCATCGAAGTTCAGTTGTCAGAAAATGAAAACATAATTCTTGAACGATTGCACTTCTCAGGGCCAGCGGAAGGGATGAAACAGCGAGGCAGATGTTTCAGGCGGCATTTTTTAGGGCGGCATTTTAAGACTTGATTATTAACTTTTTATAAATTTCAGAAATTGAAAATTGCACAAAAATCTGAAAAAAAACATTTTTTGACCCCGAATGCGTGCTTTGTGCTTTTATTAATTATTTAGAAATCAACGAGTTGAGCGAAAATTTCCCTAACATCGTTTTTTGTTAACCATTTCTGTGTCTGTGGCCAGTGGAGAATGTTCTTTTTCAAAATTAAAAATTATAAAAAATTATTTATGAACAACCATGCATGGCCCAGGAACGGTTAACAGACATAGCCAATCTTGCTATCGAGAAATATATAACAAATAATTTGGTTTACGCTGATATCATTGAAGACTTTGTTAATGAAAAATGTAGAAAAGTTGATATGTGATATGTGTAAAGATCCCGTTTTGACATTATTTATTTTCTTTTTTGTTTTTATTGAATATTTATTTATTATTATTAATGATAATACAACATAACATCATATTATTTTTATGAGCAATAGACGGTTTGCTACAAGCAGAACTTTGATCCGTTTTAATTATTAATACGTTTTAAATTGTATTTTTTTTTAATTTAAAGATATATTATAGCCACGGAATTTACCCCACCCGTACGCTATGGCGTTTCTAATGACGGGTAAATTAAGTACTACGTAGGTCCGTTTGCACCTACTAATAGAGCATTTCCCTATTATCTGTTAAGTGCAATTGACAGAGATAGAAGATAGATCAACGTTCATGTAACAGAGTCTATAAACGATTATACAGGGTGATCAAGAATGATTGATCGTGCTGCCTCATACTGATTTTTGATGTGCGGCATACCAGTTTTTGATACCAATACTAGAATCATGAGCGCAGGTTGAGGGATTTTAATGGTAAACAAATAATTACGTTCAAACGTCAAATAAATTAGGTTACTGTCAAAATGGAAATTCATAATAAAAATATCAATTATTTAACAAAAATCAAAGTTATTTCACAAATTAAGCAATACTGATGGATCAATAAATGTTATTATTGTTATTATTATTATTATTATTATTATTATTATTATTATTAAAGAGGATGACAGAATCAGATGTAGGTTTAGCCTAACTATTCCAAAATTCTTATTTCATTTACAATTAGAAAAACGTTTAAATCAAAGTTTGATGTAGTTAATTTTGAATAACGACTTTAAGTGCTGCAGCGATTTTATTTTTAAAAAGTTTTGAGTTAATTTTAAAATAGAAGTACTATTGTGGCAACATTTCTGGCATCTAAGACGATTCAGCTATACAGCGACACGCTGCAACCTGCTGTTTTTCATCGAAGCAAACTGCTGTATGTTTATAAAACGACTATTTTGCAGCTACTGCTTTCACACTTCTGAATATCCAGCGCAAGCGATCCAGCCCAAAAATGTACGCTGAACATTTTTGTTAGCTGTCGAAATTCAGCAAAAGTGTCTTAAAAACGTTTGCTTCAAGCCTTCAAGTAAATGCAAGCAGTTGGAAGTGCTTGATTATGTTAGACGGTAGGATTGTCTATATGACCGAGCAGGCCCGGTCTGGCTCATTCGGGGACCGTCGGGAAAAATCGAAATCGGGGCCTATTAGGGTTTGTCTATTATTAGGGTGCATATCGACTCTCCCAAGAAAAGCTGTCGTATCTCCAATTTGGTTATACTGACATAATTGCATTTGAATAGTTGAGAAAATAATTAAAATAAAATTCGTTATTTTTTTTATTACAATAGCTAAATCGTTCTTCTTTAACAAAGTAATTATTGTCTAGGTCTTAATTAATTATTGATGATCTAAATAAAATAGTTTAGGATAAGAAAAAAATGAATTTTGAATGAGTTACTACAGTTTTCGTGGACAAAATTTTTATTGAGAAACAACTTGCTACACTAATAAGGTACAGAAAAATTAAATATTTTCTATTTTTAGATAAAAAAATAATTGTTAATAATCAATAATGACATAAAAGGAAAATTTATTACGATTCAGAGTCAGAGTCATCTTCTTGGTCAATATTACTTTCTTCCTGGTGGTCAGTCTTACTAGCAGGCCGAAGGGAGTTGTAAAATCCATGATACATCGGTGGTATCAAATTAGCCTTACACAGATCCAAAAGACCGCTTAATTTTTTACCATTAATTGGCAGAAAACCTTGGAAATTGATATTTTTCGCGTTTGCGTGTATTTTTTGTTTGTAAGTCTAGTTCTTTATGATTGTCTCCAAAATTATACACAAAAAATATTTTATTGGGGGAGACTTTGGATTGCAGTGGATTTCTCTGATTTTGCTGAATTTTACAGCCTCTCCAGCAATATCTTTCCAGTTTTGTTTCTTTACCATTGGTTTAAAAGTTACAAAATCTTCTTGAGACATTTATTTTACTTTGTACTGGGGGACAGTAACTTTGGCCATTTTTATTAGACAAATCCACTGATCAGGACTATCAGGAATGTATATAACAGAGTGACGTTTTTTTTGCAACTTCAATCACAGCATGCATGCTGTCATTTTATTCTGCGTGTGGCCAATTTCAAGAAAATGATGTGTTATTTCCAAATCCAAAGTTATTGATGCATAAGCAAACATTGCAAAAACAAAACGATTACGGTTTTGACCACCGCAATTGTCGGAATAAAGGATAATTTTTCGTATGCCATTTTCTTTATCACTTTTTAAAAACATCCATAAACAACTTCCAATTTCATCCGGTCCCCTCTTCGATATTTGCTCATACCATACATAGCAATAACCTTGATTGCTGCCTAAATCATAAATTGTAAAGTTGTATGTTGCGATTTTACTTTTATAATAAAAATCGCTGACTTCTGTCTTGGGTTATTAGAGATTTATAATTTTTCGAAAATTCTTTATCAATGTCTTTCAGATTTCGAACAGCGATTTTGTTTAAATTATGATTATTATAATCATCTTCCATTTTTTCTGTTCTCTTCTCGGGATCTGTATTCTTATAGTAGTCCAAGCATTCTGTCACGGATTAATGTTAAATTTGCAGAAATTATTACCTGGACAAAAAAAATATGACCGTATAGAAAATTAAATTTTAAATTGAGTTTCTTGTTCTTTAAACTCGATCCAATATGGCGAACATGGTTAAAAAAAATCGCAAAGTTGAAAAAAACTGTTTTTCTAAAATAACTAAAAAAATATAGCACGGATTGAAAAATTTTAAATGAGAAAGTTGTAGGTTTTAAAAAGATCTATCGACTGATTTTTTGAAAGTATCGATTGCTTTGTTACTTTTCGAGATATATCGAAAAAACCGTTAAAAATCTTCTCTTTTCTCTTCTTCTATAACTCGTTTACATTTACGTGCCCATATTTGCTATTTACTGCAAGCATAGCCCGCGGCAAGCCAAAAAAGTACATTTTTGAAAAATTTAAAAATATTAATTATTTTTCGAGATATATCGATTTTTTGAAAAAAAGGCGCTCTCGAAAATTGGCTAGATCTTCTCAGCGGATAGCCCTACAGTAACGATTTTCGGTTTATTTTCTTCGTAAAGAGTTATATTATCATGCTGTTAAAAAATGTTGACGATTTTATTAATTTTAAGGATCAAAAAATGACTGAAAAAGTTGCACTTTTTTTGGGTATGTTTTTTTCAAATAACTATTTCAATTTTTATTATTTTTTTGTACTTAATCTGGGGTAGCTAAACACGAATATTATAGCATTTTCGCCTTAGAAGCAAAATAGACCCGTAAATGTTTAGTTTTCTTTCTTTAAAAGTCATTTTCATAAAATAAAAATTGAAATAGTTATTTGAAAAAAACATACCCAAAAAAAGTGCAACATTTTCAGTCATTTTTTGATCCTTAAAATTAATAAAATCGTCAACATTTTTTAACAGCATGATAATATAACTCTTTACGAAGAAAATAAACCGAAAATCGTTACTGTAGGGCTATCCGCTGAGAAGATCTAGCCAATTTTCGAGAGCGCCTTTTTTTCAAAAAATCGATATATCTCGAAAAATAATTAATATTTTTAAATTTTTCAAAAATGTACTTTTTTGGCTTGCCGCGGGCTATGCTTGCAGTAAATAGCAAATATGGGCACGTAAATGTAAACGAGTTATAGAAGAAGAGAAAAGAGAAGATTTTTAACGGTTTTTTCGATATATCTCGAAGAGTAATAAAGCAATCGATACTTTCAAAAAATCAGTCGATAGATCTTTTTAAAACCTACAACTTTCTCATTTAAAATTTTTCAATCTGTTCTATTTTTTTTAAATTATTTTAGAAAAACCGTTTTTTTCAACTTTGCGATTTTTTTTAACCATGTTCGCCATATTGGATCGAGTTTAAAGAACAAGAAACTCAATTTAAAAATTAATTTTCTATACGGTCATATTTTTTTTGTCCAGGTAATAATTTCTGTAAGCATTTCTCTATAATGCTTGGACTATAGGCACTACACACGGAACACTGATCTTTTTTTGACTTAAAGAAAGCTATATTAAATTTCGAATTAAGAGTATCCCTGTATTGTCTGAGTGTAGTTACTACATCCCATTTTTGTTGTTTTGCATCTAAATACATTCTGTGCATTCGTGAAATACTCAAACCTTCTTCCAAGTACATTCGTTTTGAGTTTTTTCTTGTGTAATGAGAAGGCATAAGTGGAAAAGTTTTATGTGTTCCATAATGTTTTTTATTAGAGCATTCGGGTTCTTATGCGGTCTAGTGTTGTTTTTCCCTTTTCTGTACCGTTCTACAGTATCATCTTTTTGCAAAGCGGTGCTTACAACTGTTTCAGAAATTGCAAGCGTATCGTTTTGCAAATTTGTTTCTCATAATTGTCAATGACAAACTTATAATTGCGAGAGAAATTCCTTCTGGA